AAATTAAAATTAAACACAAAATTAATGTATTTTATTTAATGATTTTTATTTTTTATTTTTACCTTCTTCTAACAGTAAATACTGTAATGATCTATTACTCCATTCCTCCAAACAATGAAACCCTGTTTGTTTGTGTCAACCTGTGGCACAGTGACGTGTTCTTCTGATCTGCAGGTTCTTCCAAGCTGCGTACGAAGAGGAGTTTGGCAGGAGTCAAAGGTCATTTTGGTCCCATCAACTGTGTGCCTTTACACCCTGACGGCGAGAGGTAAATGAGACCAACACAGCTTTTGATTGTTCCAAAAAATAGTGACATGGAGGCCAGGGTTAGGGTTTGACCTCTCATCCAAGAGGTGAAACCCTAACCCTGCCCTTGATGTCACTGTTTTGGTTGTGTCATTCATTGTATGCTATTGTCATTGTCTTAACAGAGAGAAGACCTGTGGACACAGCAGCTTGGACTCTGCCAGGTCAAGGGAAGGAGCAACTCTACTGGACTGGACTTGTGAGTGTAATTGCTTGTTTTTTAGCTCTGTTAAGTATCTGACCATAGGATTAAGACACAATGAATGGAATATTCATTGTGCCTTAACGCTATGGTCAGATACTTAATGGAGTCACTTTTTTCTGAGTGGCTCAGTCGGTTACCGTGCTAAACAGTAGCCTGTTTTATAGAAATGAAATAATAAAGGAAATAATGACTTACAGACAGACAGCATCTTTTGTAGAGCTTGTGATAATGAGGAGCTTTTTTTGTTGTTTATTTGTCAGTATTCCAGAGAAGTCCTGAAGAAAGCTGAGCAGCACAGCAGGCACATCGACGACACCCAGACGTCTGTAGACCTCACCATGTTCATCAGTGCCTAAAAGGACAACACCGCCATGGTGAGAACTATTCTGTAAATGATTGATGTGGTAACAGTTGTTGAAAAATCTTATACAGTGGTATGAAAAAGTTTGGTTACCCCCTGATCATTTTCAAGAATTTCCTTTATGTATCATCGGTTGTTCGGAACAGCAATTTGAATTAAATATATCATATAGCAAACAAACACAGTGATATTTAAGAAGTGAAATGAAGTTTATAGGATTTACAGAAAGTGTGCAATAATTACTTAAACAAAAGTAGGCAGGTGTGCTTTTTTAACACTTAGTCTTTTTTTAATGCTTATTCCATTCATTGTGCTTGACTTGCTGTATTTCCTTGCTTCTTTGTAGTTCATTGTATGCTTTTTCATTGTGCTTCTTCCAGAATAAAAAATGTTGTTGGAATATTGTGTGTGATTTGCATTCATTTCAAGAAATTGAGCAAAAAGGGGGAAATATGAATGGGATTTATCATTGCCTTATAGGGCATACATTGTCAAAGTCAAAGTCAAAGTCAAAGTCAA